TACATGTGACTAGATTTTTTTCACATCCATGGTAAACTGAATAAAAATAGGATGACAAATATTACTTCTGATAATTCAACTTTTTTTAGTTGCAAGAGTTATACATTTTAATGATTAAGAAAGAAATTGGGTAGAATTAGTTTCTGAAGTCTTTCTTTTTCCTAACAATGAAATGTAATGCATATATTTTACTTGAGATTTAGCTAAGTGCAGAACTATCAACAAAGCATGTTGTCATGATCTTCAGCAACTTCAGATTTGAGTCAGTAAGTTTGGTTTCTTAGACCAGTCACATTTCAGATGTGAGGAAGAATGGCATGGTTAATTAGGAACATTATCAATGAAGCATATGTTGACCAGTGCTGGGCTTCATAGGAAGCCCAGTTCCATACTGGAATTATGATGAATAAATGGTGTCAAATTTAACTAGGTTACATTAGAAAGCTGCTTATTCTAACGTATATAACATTGCTTTTTACTTAACTTCCAAGTTTGGATTATTTTCAAACTGCTGATAATTCTTGAATTTTTATTTTGTTCAATATAGTTTCGCTCAGTATTTGTATACTTGAAAACAGATTTAGTGGGAGATGCTTCCAGGTGAATATATAGTTACTGACTGGGCCAGCTGCTTTAATAATAAAGCACATTTTCAGAATGTTTTTGAAACTCATCTTTTTTTTTTTGATAAATCTGGAATGAAACTTGTGTTGTCTATTCAGACTTGCTAACTGTAAAGATGCACTAAAGATAGAATCAGCTGCAAAAAAAATAAGTTGAAAGGTAGTATTTGCTGTTAATATATAACCTAATTGATTAGTATATCTTAACACAGTGCCTTTTTCATAGCTTTATATTTTTAGAACCTGCCTCAAAGCGGAGGTTTTAATAGTTAAATCTTACAGTTCAAATAATTTACTGCCATAAAACTGCCTATTCAATCTCTTGCTGTTTTAAAACATACATGTAAACTTAAAATGGCAGCTGGGTAGCCACTTTAGTTCCTCAAATTAGAAACTGCAGTCTAAACAGACATTATTTGAAATAGGCACCAGGATAAACAACATGTTTGGTTGAAAGAATGAGCATTTTTGCTAAAATGGTGTATCTGGCCTAATCACTCATCCTTTTAGTCCAAATGCTCTTAGGTTACATCTGATTTTCCTAATTTGAAATAATCTCTATTCTTTTTTCTGTATAGTTGTAAAAGAAATAGTTTTTGTAGTTATACCTCCTAATTATAGTTCTTGAGTTCTTGCTAAATTGCCTGTAATTCCTATGAAGTTTTAATAGCTGAAGTTTAAGTTTTAGGTCTTCAAAAATTTTAAACCAAACTTTCTTTAAGTGAAATTCTGTTTTTCAGAATCTTAACTTTTGATCAGGCAGAAATCTTTTGTGAGACGTAACTGTATACTACTTGAGTCAAAACACTGCACTTTTGTGCATATACAGGAAAAAAAATTGAACTCAGAATTCTAGAAGGCCTTGGTTGGGGGTGAACATTGTAAAACAAATTAGTTTTGAATTAATTGATATATTGTGTCCCCCTTGCCTTAAAACATTTAAAAGGAGGAGAAATTAAAGGTTTATGTTCTTGAATTGCCCCCTTTGCTTACATGTGTCTGATACTATCTCTTGAAAGCGTATGTGCCTTAATGTATTTATTAGTCTTTTCAGGTGCTGCTGGATTCTTTGTTTTCTTAAAAGTGAAGCTTTATCCTGTAAACCTTGATTAAATTCAAGATGGTGGCCACACTGATTTCTAAGTATTCGCTTCTTTAAAAAAAATATTGGCTTATAATGTAAAATTCTCAAATTACGTAGGAGTTCCTTACTAATATTCATAAAGGTGTAAATTCTGGCATGCATTAGATACCTGTAGTAAAGTTGTAATTACAATCCGTTGGCTAAGGAAGGTAGACCTTTAGAACAGCCTAGAATCTCAACTTCATATGATCTGTAATATACCCAATACTCAGAATTACTTCATGTATAGAGCTGCAGACCCCCAATCTTCATGCCAGATCAAATGGGGCAGAGGAGAGGATCAAGCAGAAGTATGAAAGCCTGCCTCCTATTTCAGAAAATAAATCTACAGCATCATTATGGACCATGTGATAATACTGCTTTTAAAATGTTATGATTTGCTACTAACAGAACTTCAGTTAGTAGTCAGGATTTCAGTCTTTAATCAGGCAATCGTCATCAAGGGCAGTATGAATCAAAAGAATACTTTCCCCTGCTTGCTGGGGTAGGTGTCCTCAGAGTCAAAGTACTGTTGGCAAAACCACTACAGCTGTGGGGATTTAGAATCTGAGATGGCATAAATTATAAGTAACATTTGTATTTTTTAACTCTCTCCTGGGGTTGTAGTGCTGAAAAAGTGCCAGAATGACAGCTCTGGAGACTGAGGTCCTCTTCACCAAAGCAGGCTGAGCCCAAGTTTCATCAGTGCAAGTTTTCCTCAACAATGTATTGCTGCCTTGCATGTGGAAGGCCATATTGTGGGGTGAAAGGGGAGTTCAGTCTCCAAAGCCCACTTCATTTGGCCTTTCCACTACTGGGTGAACACTCAAATACGGACCTTCAATACCAATTCTTCAGAACTGGACTTGAAGCCACTCAAGGACTCTACAAGTCACCACAGGCTGGTAACAACTTTGCAATCCCCATTCCGCTGTCATCTGTTCCTGGATAGTATTTTCCTCCATACGAAAATATAACAGGATACTGATTTCTTCTGGCCAAGGACTTTAGAATTACTATATCCAAAACATAGGAGTACACTTGGAACTGGGCCCTTCTGCTTTAGGGGAAAATAATTTCTATTCAAAACCTAATCTACATGGCTTTGGAAAAGTGGGATATCTGCTTAGTCCAATTTGCTATACTAAAAGAAATGAAGACATTTGCTGTGAAAAATATCACCAAAGAAGACTGCTCCATTGACTTGCCAGTCGTTGCTTTTACCGCAGAGATGCAGTTGCTTAATGCTGTGGGAAGTTTTAAAAAATAATTCAGCATATTAATAGGGAAGGCCAAAGTTTATACTTAATTTTGTAAAAGTGGTATTGCTGCAAGATGACATAAGATAATAGATTATTTCAGTAAGGTACATTTATTGTGCCTCAAGCGTTTTGCATTCAAAAGGCAGTGTTCCTGGACAAGTGTTCATTTATTAAGATGGACAGTTTCATTGCATCATACTTGAAAGAACTGCCTCAGATGCGCCTGGTTATGCTCTGTCTGCATACTTTTTAATGCAATTGCAAGCCTGTTGCTGAACATGTCTACACCTAATCCAGTAAAATGAAGATGGTTAAACTACAGGCTACCATAATTTCAAGAAGTACACCTTTAGGGCCATGGGGTGATACCAAAAAGCACCCCATTTACCATGGAATTAGCAACCTGCTCCTTAACATGGGACAGTGTGGGCTTTTTTTCATTCAGAGCCTAATAAACTGATGGAAAGGCCAGTTGTGGGTAGTATGTTTTCATATCTTAAAGCTTTTAGATGAAATGCATTCGGAATTAAGAAAAAGCTGCTTTAAGCACAAATAGAAGTTAAAATTAGGGCCCAACAGTTTTGAGTGGCTGTCACCCATATGTGGCCCAAATTTAATTGGAGCAGATAAACCTAAATTTCATTTGTAATTTTACATATTTAAAATTCTGTTCTTAGAATATACATAAAATATAAAAGGTCAAGAAGTACATGCAACGCAAGTTTATTCTTAAAAACACGTCGTCGATGCTACCATCTTGGATAGTTGTCTTCAAAATACACTCTGCTCTTTAACCAAAGAATTGTAGCAGGTTTCTGAACTACATAACACAGCCTCACAGAAAGTGATATTAAACACAAGTTCCTAGCACAAACAACAAACCCTATGATTAAGAAGAACACTGCCCTTGGCTATAATTTGCAATCAACTAGCTGATTCCCACTGAGCACTAAGACTTGAGGGCAAATAGGACATTTGTACCATGTATGGTAAGGTGCTTTAAATACTTGCCATTTGAATTTCTTCTGGCAGTCATTTAGTAAGCAAGAGCTGAGGGAATCCAACAGAATTAAATGGGTTTTCTAGAGGACGCCAGTACATGGACAGCAGAAATCTGACAGTTACTGAGCTGTATCAGTTTGATGACAGACAAATGAGATCCATAACGTGTTTATGGAGTACCAGGGGGATAGTTCGTTATTTGTAACAGCTCACGTAGTATCCTTAAGTGTCCTTTGCAGGTATTCGTATGCAGTGCTGTTCTGTGTGCTATAATGCTACAAAACAAATAGTGTGGGTGTGGAGAAATACCACCACCAAAAAAAGTTACTCTGATTTTAATCAAGAAAGAACAGTCTCTGATACCTTACCTAATTAGCTGGGAATAAACTGAATTTGGTGAGACTTTTTCTGAATAAACGTGCACTGAGAAATCCATACTACATTAGACTGGTTTTTTTAAACTGAAGACACACAAATGGCAAATCTGGGGGCAGGAGAAACGGTAGTATCCTCTTTGGAAAATAAGGCAGGCAGATAATGTTCTGGGATTTGGACTAAATAGGGCCATGGATTTTAGACAAATTGATCTCCATTTTAGTTGAATCAACAGAATACTTGTGTAGATCTACATATTTTAGAAATGGACTCTTCGTAGTTTTACGGTCAAGTAAAGATAAGAATTTAAGAGGGTTTGCGAGTTGTTTTTGTTTTTCATTTACCAAAATCATCATGTATGTTTAAGTGAAATGCTTACTTGGTCCCCAAAACTTCAAGAATCCCCATAGAAGGATTTACTAATTAGAAGATATATGATAATACTTTGCACCTACTGGGACAGCAACCTGTTGCCGTGTGTTTTTGCATTTTGCTATTCTGCAATGACAAAGTTTGTTTAACTTTTGGGAATTTTATTTTTAAAATATCTTTAAAGTTCTGTAGATTTTTTTCCTCCCAAAGAAGAATTTAATATCAATCATCTGTGTTTGACAGAATTTACAAACATGGGTTCTAGACCCATAGACCCGAAGGAGCTCCTCAAAGGACTGGATTGTTTCCTTGGCAAAGATGGAGAAATCAAAACTCATGAAGGCATCACTAAAATTTTTAAGTAAGTGTTAGTATTAAGAATCCATTAATTGCCTGTAACTGAAAAACATTGGAGTACTGCAGTAGTGTACTACCTTTAATATTTTGTTGAGACCAAGTTTTATTTTTCTTTGTACTGTACTGGTATGAATTATAGGCTGCTTACATGGAAAAGTCAAAGGAAGTTGACAGTTCTTCTATTTTTTTAAACAGAAAAATTGTCCAACATCTCTTTCTGCAATTTCCTAGAGTTAATGTTACGCATGATGTTGGTATTCAGGTATGGAGTAATTGAATGGATTAATTGCCTTTTCCCCCAGCTATTTCTCCCAGATCTTAACTGGCATTTCTACATTTGGCAGACTAGTCCTTCAGGCATTCTATTTGCAATCAAACTGAAAATTTCCACTCTTGACTTTTCTCATTTCAGTTTAATGAAAGATGCGCAGAAGATGGTCAGTCGGTGCATCTACTTGAACATTCTGTTGCAGACCCGAGCACAAGATATACTCTCGAAGTAAGTTCTGCCGAATGTTTGTGGGGAATGAAGTTAGGTCTGCTAATTTCAAAAGCAAGATATTGAATGTGTGAAAAGCTAGTATTTTTTTTAATGGATTTTGCTAGCAGTACCATTGAGTTACTATTTTATTTTATTTTGATCCCTTGGGCTTTAGTGTAGCTTTTTGGCACTCTTCTGCATAGCTGTTCAACTTGATCTGCTTTCAGTCAGATTCCAGGACACTGGTAACTTGTGAATGGAATAGAATGAAGGAGGAGTGTAAGATTCTGAAATGTGAGTGTAGATGGGAGCAGTGATGATAGCGAGGGTAGAAGGACATAACGTTCAAGTTCCAACTCCTTATTCCTGGAAATTCTGAGAATACATTTATCTAATATTATAAAATAGAAACAAAATAGAAACTACACAATTTAAGTAAGTGTATTCTGTAAATATTCTTTACATATGCTTTACAGTCATTACAATAATGTGATTTTTGCTTGGTTTTGGCTTAAAGTGTGTATCCAGCTACTTGTAGCTATTCCATAGCCTGTGTTTAAGCAAGCTATAATATCCTTTTACATATGAACCAAGTCTTCGTCTCCTCATTCTACAGATTCATCAAAGTTGGTGGCTATAAGCTCCTTAACACGTGGCTAACAAGCTCAAAAGCATCCAGTAATGTCCCCCTTCTTCAGCAGATTCTACTCACACTCCAACACTTACCTCTGACTGTGGATCATCTGAAACAAGTGAGTTAATTAAACAATGTTGGAAGTTGTCCTTTTGGTTTGACCTTTCCAAGATCAAGGCAAAAAATGTTTTGTTCCAGGTGTCGAGGGAGGGCTGTGGGGTTTGACTTTTCTTCAAGATCATTTTCTTCAAGAAAAGTCATGTGTGGCTTTTCTTCGAGATCAAGATCTCTGGCTGGGGAATTCTGGGAGTTGAAGTCCACACAGCTTAAAGTGGCCAAGGTTGAGGAATGCTGTATTACGGTACTCAAAACAATACTCCCAGTGGCAGGAGTGATCAAACCTGCAGTGGTACACCCTGTGGTTTTTATGTCACATAACACCGACTGTCCCTTTTCCTTTTTTTTCAGAACAATACTGCCAAATTGGTGAAGCAGCTCAGCAAGTCAAGTGATGATGAAGGTAATTGTCACTTGGCCATACAGAGAGTTCTGATACCAGACACCATTCTGAGTTTCTAGACTTACATTTGAAATAATTTGTTTAATTAATTGAGTGCTTGTGCGTTTTTTCCTTGTTAGAGCTTCGTCGACTGGCTTCCATACTGGTCAGTGACTGGATGGGCGTGATCCGCTCTCAGAGTAGCTCCCAGCCTACAGGTTAGCGGCTTTGTGTTTTTATAGAAGCACGGACTGTCACAGCTTTATTGTAATGAAATCAGACTCTTGTGGTAATAATGTGTGGTATTGCTACCTGCTTAAAACATATCATCTGCCTCGTATTCTGGGTCAGGTTAGAAGGATATATTCTTAAGCAACATTTTAAACATTCCTTGTTAATTAATAAGCTCTCTCTCTTCTCCCCTGTGCTGTTTACATTTTTTACTCTTGATCTTAGCCCAAAGGCCAAGAAGCATAAATTGTGTTTATGTATTTTCAGACATTGTAATGTTAGACATTTACTTCTGAAAGGCCAAAAATGTGATTGGATGTTGAATTGTAAAAGGGGTGCCTTCAGAAGGGCTAGAAAACATTAATTCTTTAGCCCTTCTAAGCTCCTGGCTTCGTTTGTTCTTTGCAGAACGAGAAAAGAAAAAACGAAAGGAAGAAAACAGAAGCAAAGCACCTGTTCAGGAGAAGCCTCAGGAAGCCAAATCAGAAGCTAAGCCTGAGGAGACCCCTGAAAAGAAGAAAGAAAAACCAAAATCTCTCCGCACCACAGCACCCAGCCATGCCAAATTCCGTTCCACAGGTAAGTGCACTGAGAATTGTTACAGCTCTGTAATGATGTTAGAATTATCCTAATTTAGCCTGGCTAGAGTTATTCATTAGCCTTGGGTGAACAGCTAAATCCATGCTTACAGAACATTCTGGGATTCTTGGATTTGCCATTGCAAATTATTCTATTAGTTACTGTTGCTGCTTGCTTGTAGGTTTGGAAATGGAGACTCCATCACTCATTCCTGTGAAAAAGAACATGAATGCTGCAGTAACCTCTGATAAATATAATTTGAAGCCAATACCACTGAAAAGACAGAAGTAAGTATTATGACCTTGAACGAAAGTTCTTCATCTTTGTCTCTTAATTTATCTTATGTAGGACTGAACCTGGTAATGTGATGGTTCAAACTTTGTAAGCCTGCATCTTTCTAGTTTGTAACCCAAACTTGCTGGTTTAAGTTGGTGGGAAGGAGAAGCCTCTTGCTTCGTATGTATAACAAGAGATGTAATATTTGGAGGTTAGGACTGCAGGATAATTTGTTCAGTTTGCATTTTTATAAGAACTTAGTCTTCTCCAATTAGTATATGTGCTGGAATGTAATTACTTTGGTATTCAAACAATCAAAAATTAATTTTAAGGACATAATTGGATATAAAAATTTAGGTATTTAGGAAGTGCTCTCAGAAATCTAATCCTGGCTTTAAAAAGACAAACCAAAATAGGAAGCATTGTAGGAGATGTCAGGGAGAACACCAACTAGGTTCCCTTCTGATAAATCATCATTTTGTGATACTCTGCATCCAAATAAACAAGCTTTTCTATAGCAGCTGCTTTGCAAAACTTCCTGTGACATACCATTAACATTTCAAATGTGTCCATCAGCCCACAAAAATGGGGAGCATTTGATCTGCCTTGATTGCAGCCCAGAGAGTCCTGTGCTGCTTTAGATAGGCTGGACCAAGGGAGTTAGGGACAGTCACAGGGAAAAAACCCAGCATGTTCACAAAATGGTATACAATGAAGAAACTTCTTTTTCTTCTAAATTTATATTTTTGCTAAAGACAGAATAGATCAAATGTATACATGACAGTGGGAATCTGTTTGGTGTGAAAGATATTACCAACCCGGTGAGCAATCCAGTGTCTTCTCTTTTGACTGACTTGAGGACTGTTTTTCTCCATAGCACATCAACCCCAATTTGTGAGAACCCACCTGCTGAAAAGAAATACAAACCCCTCAACACCACCCCCAATGCTACCAAGGAAATTAAAGTGAAGATCATCCCCCCACAGCGTAAGACTTTCTCCTTTTTCATACCCATGGAGTTAAGGAGTAACATGGGCTAGATTAGAGGCAATGAGAATGGAACTCCAGTGTTTTGATCTTGCTCATGAGTTAACTGCTGAATTCCCCCATCAACTCAGATCTTTTCACATTTATTAGGGATGTACAAATATTCTGTGCAAAAAATGTTCCATGCATAGAATAGCTGGATTTTGAACAATTTATGTCCAAATTGAAATATGTGAATTTTGGATGTTTTTGATTTATAGACAGAACAAAACAGGGCGGTTTTGTTTCAATCTAGAGTAAAACATAGTTATTCCAGGCAGAAGTTATTTTGGGTGATGGTGGGGAGTAAGAGCGAGTAAAAGCCAAGAATGTTGGTGGTGCTGACTGAGGAGGGACGGGGGAGGCGTGGAAGGATGTGCCACACTAGGACATCAGTACAGTAGTGGTGGCTCAGGAGAGAAGGAAAGGAAGGCTGCCATATCATTAGGAAGCTTTTAGTACAGAATGGTTTTCAAGCCCTTCTCAATTTACTCTCCAGCTATGGAAGGATTGGGCTTCTTGGATGCCCTAAACTCTGCCCCTGTCCCAGAAATCAAGATCAAAAAGAAAAAGAAAGTCCTGTCTCCAACTGCAGCTAAGGTAAGAAACGTGCAGAGCCAGCAATCCTACTTTTACAGAGATGGCTTTAAATTTAGAAATCAGCTAATTGGCTTTGTATGTGTTTCTCACTGCTCACAGCCAAGTCCTTTTGAAGGGAAGCCAGTCCCAGAAACCGCTGCTGCCAAGCCATCTTCACCTGAGTTGAACCCAGCTTCAGAGCCAATGGATGTGGATCGACCTGGTACTCCTGTGCCAGCTGTGGAGGTGCCCGAACCCATGGAGACAAGTAAGTGAGGGGAGAAGAGTGCCTTCAGCATAACAAGAAGACGTGCTGTAGCTGTGGCATGATATTTTTCCATCTTGCTTGCCTAGGCTAGCAAACTTTTGACTAGGTACTAACCAGCTGGTTCATGTTGTTCATTATGCAAGGGGTATCTGGAGCACCATGGCAGCCAAAGGTGTTCTGAGTGATGGTAGATTTTCTTTCCTTTGATATTCCAAGTACTTAAGGCATATATTATACTTTAAAATATTGTTGCTGAATGGATGGGTGCTTTTTCAGATTCCTCTGAGCATGGAGGTTTGTTGGATTCAAAGCCAACTGAGAGCCCAGCTGATTCAACCCAGTTGACAAAGAAGGGTAAAAAGAAAAAAACAGTGAGCTGGCCTGAGGAGAATAAACTGCGGGAATATTTCTACTTTGAATTGGATGAGACAGAGAGAGGTGAGTGTTTTCCCTTTTCTGAACAGAAAATTGCAGAGAAGATACTGGGAAGCCTCACAAAACCAAAAGTTATACCTGTCATCTGTCTAGAGCAGGGACTCTCAACCTTTATTTGCTCATGACCCCCTTCTGAGCCACATTTACTTCTGTGACCACCCCCCTCTAGTTGCTGTTAAGATAATTATTGCAAACTCTAGTAACTTTCCATATTTATGCTTCTGAAACTAGCACAGAATGAGATGTGAGGATTATGACAAATGTATTAAAAGCCTGGCAGTTAAGTTGGGATGGTGTCCTCAGAGATGTACATATGGCCTACGTTGAGAACCACTGGTCTAAAATGCATTTATGCAATCAAAAGATGGATTGTAAATGAATTACAAAGACTTCTGTAGCATGGAGTTACTAAGCGAAAAGACTGAATCCTGTTGACTTCTATGTTTTTGATTTTGAGTGCTTAATAACAAAGATTCAAAACATTCTTGGGTTCTCCCTAGGCTTCTCTTTGCAAACAGTCATTTTTTTTTTAAAATGATAGTATTGATATTCAAGTACTAAAGTGTCACCTCTCCTGCAGGGAGAATTAGGCCTTTTCTGCTGTATTTGATGGCAAAAATCTTTAAAATAATCGCAGTAGGGGGAATAGGACAAATAATTTATGAAACCTCCAACTTTGGGCACATTCAGACTATTAAAAAGTATTTTGGATGGCTTGATAAAATGGCTGTTATAATGAATGCAACTTCTCACAAAACATCCATTTTACAGGAAGGCAGAATGATTGCTTGAAAGATAGTAAATCGCCCAAGATCTCAAATATATGCCAGTGCTTCACTTTTTAGGATTTTTTAACTTTAAATGTTTGTTTGTGTGTGTGTGTGTGTGTGTGTGTGTATTCACTATTTATTTATTTATTTTAAAAATATTTAGGGAATGTTGTGGACATAGAAAGTTTTGCTCGCTAGCTAATCCTGGGCATTTATTAAGTTCCATGGAACTGGAACTTTATTAAGTCCCATGGAAGTATGGAGCCCGTTAAACGGTTGCACTGTGTATAAGTTTAGATTGCACTCTCCTCTGTCTTTTTGTTATTATACTTTTTAACTGTAGCTTTTAACTGTTTTTTAATTGGTTTTAATGGTTGAAGGTTGTGGTTGTTAATTGTGTTTTCATTGTGTATGCCACCCAGAGACACATGCAAGTGAGATGGGTGACCATATAAACTCAATAAATAAACAAACATAAATTGAATATGTTCTCTGATCAATCCCTACAGTTAATGTGAATAAGATCAAGGACTTTGGCGAGGCTGCCAAACGAGAGATACTACTGGATCGCCATGCCTTTGAGACAGCCCGTCGGCTTAGCCACGACGCTATGGAAGAGAAGGTTCCCTGGGTGTATCCAAAGGCTATTGATTTGCCTGCTCCACTGGTTCAGCCCGGAAGTGGCAGTCAGGAGAAATTCACTCAAGCTGAGCGTGAGAAAGGCATTTTACAAGAAATCTTTCTCTCAAAAGAGAGGTGAGTAAACTATTTGGCAGAATTGAAATGTGTGTGTGGAGGGTCACATAATACAAGATCCTAGGCTGTTCCCTAGCTGGAAAAAACCTCAATCTATGTATAGTTGACTTAAAAGTAATGACTTAAACATAAAAAGGTTAATTCAGGAATGTATTCAGGAGGAGAGCACTGAAGAATTGCTGCTGAGAAATGAAAAAAGGCTGAAGGGAATCATATGGCTAGTCCCATTTTTCTGTGCTATTTAGCATTTGAGCAGTTCTTGCTGTGCTTGTCCCACTGATGTTTCTGTGGAAGGTAGAAGAAGAGAATTTTTATTCATAAATTGGCCAGAGAATTAAACCACCTACTTTTAACATTCCAGACTCAGTTATCTTAGCTTATATAAATTGATCCATTGTTTTCTTGCCCTGAATTAACACCAAGCCGATCTTTTTCATCTTTTTTTCTCCAGTGTTCCTGACAGCCCTCATGAACCAGACCCAGAGTCCTATGAGCCAGTGCCACCCAAGCTGATTCCTTTAGATGAGGTAAGTATGCTCTGTCCCTCTTCTATTCCACCCCCTGCTTTGAACAGAAAGAAAGAGCTAAGTGGGCTGCAGTAGAGTGGGAATGTTACTTAGGGCTTGTCTTTAAATTATATATAAAATAGGACAACTATTTTTTTAGCTCAGGGTACTGATAGATAAGGCTCCCAAGTTCCATAAATTGAGCGAAGAATTTCTAAAAGGGGACTGGAAGTCCAGTATGCTGTAACCTTTCCCCCTCTCTGTGTTTCCGTTTCCTTTCTGTGTAACGGAAACAAAGTGGAGATGGGGAACATCCCTTAACATAGCTGTTCTGCCCTAGGGTCACCCAGCCACCCCTCTTTCGTATGCCCCAAGTTCTTATTGCCAGTCTCCCCCACCCCGGGTTTGAGCACCCAGCTCCCCAGCAGCCAGTCCCTCCTGACTCCTTGTGTCTCCTCTGTCACCTCTCTCAGGAATGCTCCATGGATGAGGCCACCTACGAGGAAAGACTCGACCCATCCACCGCCTCGCAGTCTCCGGACGGAGCTGGGGGCTCCAAGCTGCCCCCGGTCCTGGCCAACCTCATGGGCAGCATGGGGGCAGGCAAGAATCCGCAGGGCCCCAACCCCAGCTCTTCCATCAACATGCAAGAGATTCTCACCTCCATCATGGTAACTAGAGCCGTCATAGGATAGTTCTTTAAATAGTAGAAACGCTAACTGATTGAGAAAACATGAACACCGGCCCTTGATTCACAGTTGTCATCTGCCTTGAAGACAGCACAGAACCCCAAATTACTCCCCAGATTGCCTGTCTCGTGTTGCCCAAACACCTCCAAAAAGATGTAGGTTCCAGAAGACAAGAGTAGGATAATATAAAGAACAGGAGAGTTTCCAAATCATCAGTAAGTGAAGCTGATAAATGGGATTCTTTCTTGAAACCCATTTTCTGCTCTAGGTCAGACCTAGTGCCTGAAGGATACAAAACTGAATCACTCACTTGTATCAAGTAGGATTTTTAAGCAGGTTTATGCATAGGATCAGAGTAGCAAAAGGAGATAGGGCAGGCCAAGTAACGAAACATTTTCTAATAGCACAATTTCTCTTTCATTTTGTGCAGGGTGGCTCAAACAATCATAAAACAGAAGAGTTGATGAAGCAACCAGATTATTCTGACAAGATCAAGCACCTGCTCGGCAATTTGCAGGGCCAGCCTGGACCAGGTCCTTCAGGAGGTAAAAGAATAGCTGGTGGTCCAGTTATGGATAGGTTGATTTTGGTTAGCTGTTAACTGGCATTCAGCTGAATTTCTTTTCTTCCCATAAGCCTGTCTGATGTGTCAGACTTGAATTCTTCTTTGTATAGATATGAAAATGGAGACCCAGTTAGATATAAGTCTACCTAGTGTCATTAAAAAAATATATATCTTAGCCAAATTTGAGTATTAGTCCAGCTAGCTGTTGTTTTTTCAGCCATCCTTTTCTGGTAATGGTTTCATTAACAGCTTCTTTGCTTTTCTTACAGTTCCACATGGGCTGCTTGGACCAGGACCTGGCCCGGTCCCCAATGGATTCCCACCAGGGCCCAAAAATATGCAACACTTTCCTCCTGGAGGGCCAGGACCTATGCCTGGTAAGTGGGGATCTGTTAATAAGGACAAGATGGGCTGGCAAGAGAAGAGGGGATAGTCTACAGTAGGCTCTGTAGGTCGTGGGTGGATGTCTTACGGTGTCTGAAGTCACTTACTTCATGCCTCTTCTCTCTTCCCTAGGACCACATGGAGGCCCAGGTGGCCCTAACATGCCTCCAGGCCCTGGTGTGCCCAATGGACCTCGGATGATGGGCCCACCTCCTCCCCAGTGTAATGATGGATACTGGGATCCTCCTGATGGTGGCATGCGTGGTGGGCCCCATGGAGGCATGAGAGGTGGCAGTCCTGGCCCCGGCCCTGGCCCCGGCCCTTTCCATCGTGGCCGTGGTGGCAGAGGTGGAGAGCCTCCTTTCCGAGGGCGAGGAGGTGGACGGAGTGGTGGTCCCCCCAATGGTAGGGGGGGCCCTCCCAACAACAGCATGGGCGGTGGCCATGGAGGGGGACACGGCAGCAGTGGCCACGGAGGGGGTCACGGCAGCGGTGGCCATGGAGGGGGACACGGCAGCGGTGGCCATGGAGGTCACGGAGGAGGGGGCCACCCAGGGGACCACGGCAGGGGACATCCAGGCGGCCATCCAGGGGACCACAGCAGGGGACATCCAGGCGGTCATCCAGGGGACCACGGCCGGGGATATCCAGGGGACCACAGCAGGGGACATCCAGGGGACCATGGCAGAGGTCACCCAGGGGACCACGGCTGGGGGCACGGAGGCGGCCATGGTGGAGGTAAATATTGGAAATATTAATTCGTGTGCCCTTGGGGTGGGATTTTTAAGAGGATTGGTTTAGCATTCTAGGTTTTATGGGGAAGCAGGCAGCCATAGAAGCCAGTAAGGGTGGCCTTTTATAAAGGGGTTCTTTGAGGGGGGGCTGCTCTTTTCTTCTAAAAAGCAAATACTTTAAAGCATAGTAATGTCAAGCTAGGCTGGGCAAAAATAGAGTTCTCTAATTTTAATGCTCTGCTTTTATTTAATGCCATGCTTTTTGCCATTTTAAAATTGTGATCTTAGTGCTGCTCAAATGTAGTGCTGTTCTACATTCCCAGGCTGTGGGTGGAGTTGTGATAGATGGAGAATGATAGGCTTGCTGAGAAAAGTGATACGTATGAAGTTCCTGGATTTTCCTGCTGCTGTGGCTGACAGCTCTGTTTATTCCCTTCTGTCTTTCAGATAGGTCAAAGCGTCCCGTATGTCGTCACTTCACCATGAAAGGCAGCTGCAGATACGAAAACAACTGTGCCTTCTACCACCCTGGAGTGAACGGGCCGCCCTTGCCCTAGCACGAGGAGCCTGTTTCCTCCTTGCCTCTGCTGACTGTGGCATCAGCACACATTCCCACTGACTTGGACTTGGCCTTGCGTTCCCATTTCAGACTGATGCTGCATCTGCTTTTTATGGCTTCTGTGAGGCCCGTTAAATGCTTGGAGCAAGGGAATGTGACTACTTCCTCCTTCCGCATCTGCTGCTACTGATGAACTGCCACACCCCCAAAAGAGAAACTGTTGGGAGGCATCTTCCCCCTCCCTGTCTGGGGAGATGAGGCAACCAATGACTTTGAAAGCACAAGAGACTTAAAAGAGGGTTTTTAAAAGCCAGTGTGTGTAAATATTCCTGTGGAACCAGCAAAGGAAGGGGATATTCTTGCTCACAGCCTTGACTTGACTCTGTGCTGGGTTCTTCAGCTTCCCAGGAACCAGACTTGTACTGAAGAATTGCTTTGGTCTGGAGGAAGAGCTGGCATCAGCGGGAAAACTCCTTTTTAGGAACATGTGTGTAAGGCAGGGGAGAGGTTACAGCAACTGCTTGTGGATCATTCTGGGAGATGCAAGGGCAAGAGATCCATTGCTCCTGTCTAAAGGCCCTGTAGGAGAACGGGGATTTCCAGCAGCTGCCACTTACACAATACCCTCTTGAACCATGATGCCCCATCTGCCCCTTTGTAGAATACCCCTTGCAGTGCCCTATTGACTGCACAGATGTGGTTTCCCTTGGTGCTAAGTCTGCCATTGGGGGAAACCTACAAACTGTTTTCTGTGAAAACTCAACCTGGAGACTAATGATTTAGGGGGTAACTTTTGTTTTCCTGATTTACATTGTTGGTTGTGGGTTTTTTAAACAGTCTCATAAGATGTGGACTCTTCACAACATCTTTCATCTCCCCTCATCTTGAAGTGGGTGCAGCAACCCCTCTCCTGGGGGGAACAAAATGTCTCGCTCTAAGTTTTGTATATTTTGTACATTAGTAATAAAGATGGTGAAAAAGAAATATCTAATTTAACCATTAATAGTGTGGCCTTGTTCATTGTTGAGCTTGGAAATTGCATTGTATTGACAAAAAATTGAGTATAGTGTTCCAGGTCTTAAAAGTGTAAATGAACCAGCTAGTTTACATAGAGCTTGAAGATGTATTGAACAATTTTTGGAAAAATCATCAAGGACTATTCTCTGGGTGGGGGTGGGAGGAGGGAATGGAATCCACATACTCAGTTCTGGGCTGTTTGCAGTTCTCCTGAGTATGAAGCAAGTACTTGCTGGAAGTTGCTTGTGTGGGGTTCCTTTATTGGGGTTCTACACCCAGCCCTTGACACCCTTTCCCTGGGTTAAAAATCACACCAGTAAAGGTTGCTCCGTAGGGGTTGCAGCATTTCTTTGGAAGAATTTCAGCAAAGACCATATGCGTTCTTTCGGAAGGTATTCCTAGGAAATGTTAAAAGTTCCAACATGTCCATTTCTTTTGCAAAATGTTTGAGTGTTGTTTGATTGATCTGGAGAGGGATATAGGGCAAATATTTATTTGCTCAGTAGAAAGGTAGACCTGGAAAAATAAGATCAATTCTGCTAAATCTAAACTATTACGGCCCTCAGTGGTGTTTGTGAACCACGTGAGCTTCTTTGGGAGATGGTGTGTACACACAGGGTAAGGGCAGTCAAATGGAATGAGTAGATGAGTATAATCGGTTGAACTTTATCTTTGGTACCAAAATGACTTTAAAGGAAAAGCCAGTGTTTTTCCACAGCATGCAGTACATCCTATTTCCTGTGTGTTGTCCATCCTTCCCAAGTACCACTAGAATTGTATCCTATGATCTGTGGAAAATAATTTTGTTATATGTCAGGTTGAAACCATGCTTTTTCTGCTTGTATTTTTTTTTTCTGTTGAACTAATCTGCTCTTTAAAATAATTTGGAGCAAGTTTGCATTCTCCTTCCATGTACTGGACATTAAGGAATGCAAGGCTGATTGTTCCTCTAGTCACCATTGGTTCTAATGGTAGGTAAGCTTTTCCATCTCCTTCACTACTATGCTTCTGATGTATCTCAAGTTTCAGTACTATTGCAAGTCTTGCCTTTTATTGAGCTGTTTCCTGGGGAGGACACGCTAGGCGGGATTCAGTGTGGAGAGAATGAGTGAGTCATGTTTATCTTCCATAGCACTGCCTTCTTCCACAGTAAAAGTGCTGAGGGCCAAAATACAGAAACTCAAGGAAAAGCAAAGTTCAAGTACAGAACTTCGGCTAGAATAAGACTAGCAAAATTAAAATTTCTAACAAGCGTGTTGAAAAGAGAACCACGTGTCCAGCTCCCAAGGTCAGGTACTCCCCACACAGGAGTTTCCTAAGAATTCAGACAGATTCTTTGCTCAGCTCCATTTTAAGTGGAGATTCCAGCAATTGACCACATTGTCATTGATACACGAATGGTGGCATGCTTCAACAGGCCTACAGGCTTAGAAGACAAATAGGAATTCTGACGGTTGAAGTTCCTTATCTTAATAACCACAGAACAATGTACCACATTGGTCATAGCATTTCCCCAACTTCCGGTGGGTGGAGGTTTGATCTACATGGTACAATTGCCAGTTGGAGACTGAAACACTGCAGGACAGCCTTAATGCAGGATAGTTCACATCACAAAAACGTGGAGGCCAAGTATTCTTTATGAAAGAACCTGCGTGGAGCAATACTGTGTCCAGCAATCCTAAGAAGTAACCAAGGAAATAAACTGGAATAGGTGTCTTTGTCACAGTTGGCTCTATGGTTTTTGACATGATGAGTACCGTGACTAACCCTTGGGCAGAATCTTGCTTCCACCCTAGGGAGGTGAACAGGCATCACTCTTGAAAAACAGGAAAGTGAGAACGAGAATAGGCCCCTTACAAGGATCTGGGTCAGCAGCTGTAAGATGATGCTAACTGGTTTGCTCATGCCCAGAGTCTGTTTATAAACATCTACCAGGAAAAGCATTATCTCAGGCAGGCTTAAAGCTACATAATCTACATGGTGCAAACAGAGGCTGATTAAAAGGTAGCTACTTCCTAACATAAAGCATACGATTACTCGCTGCTCAATTATCTCCCTCCTGCAGTAAACATACTATTTCCGTGTGCTACAAGTAGGATTTGTTATAATGGCAGGGGCTCTACACATCACATCTTGTATAAATTGCTTAAATAAATAAATGCTAAATCATGGTTTGCTACAAAAATCTTACCATGAAATCAAAATCATTGAAACCACAATGGTTAGGTCACATAACAGATTAAGCCAAAGCTGAACATTATAACAGCATGTTGTATGAACTAGACCAGTATCATAAACCCTTCTTGTATGCAGGGTGGATCTGAGGTTAATTACTGCGTGCAAATTTTAGGATGGTGTCTTAGAACGCTCTGGGAATTCTCAAACAGCATCAGGATTTGAGTCTAGAGATGACTGCTAAGATTGTTTCTAGAGTTACTGAAATTTTTTACTGACCTAATAATACTTTGGTGGTGCTCATCAGTGTGACTGCAAGAGAATTAATCCAGGTTCATGTGTTTTGGTACAAGTGGTTAAAAGCTGGAAATTAGAGCTAGGTAAACAGGAAACAAAGGGAAACATACTACTTTCAGTTGAGGGTCAAGGGATACCTAAGCTCTTGATTCTCTAAGAGAGTCAGCGTCAGTAACAAATTATCGGAGCGCAAAGGCTAAAATGTAAAGGCAAGACTGGGGAAAAAACATGGTGTATGCATACTCTCCTTTAAACTAAGAATTCTGGTAATGGTGTAGGGTTGGGCGACAAGCCGGTACGTAAATTCCTGTTGCACCCAATGGATCAAAGTTCAGTTGATCTGAAAAAGAAGACCCTGCACCTCTTTTCCCTGCAGGAAAAATGCTAGGAAGAAAAAAAAAATATTGAATTTTAAGTAGTAGAATAGGGGGCAGTTCACACTGATACAGTGGCCTCCAATAAGATCTCCCTTATGTCTCTGGGGCACACGCAGAACCAACATCATCCTCAGGCATTGATCAAGACTCTCCTGCTTGAGGGGTGGGCAAGCCAACTAATTACTATGTAATATCAGAAGGCTAAGTCCACCCCTGATTTGCCACTGTGTATTGTTGATCTGCACTCTTTGACAACAAGGAAGTCAGCCTTTTTCCTATAGCAGGGCAGGGAAACTGAATTTTAATTTTTTTAAATAATTCAAAAAATAATTTTAAATTTTGTTGATGCAAATACCTGGATATCTGTTTAATTTTACTGTTATGTATTCTATGTTATTTGTAATTCAAATGGTAACACTGTTAATGCCTGTATAACATTGGAAGATGAATTCAATATGTATTGTTTAATAAAGAGAAAATGGAGGACAGCTTGGACGTTGGGATTTCAAAGACTTCTTGCTGTAAATATTTTACTCTCCTATAGCTACTTAACAACATCCATACGGTTGAGCAGGGTTTCTCAGCCTTGGCAACTTTAAGACGTGTGGACTTCAACTCCCAGCTGGGGAATTCTGGGA